AATTAATTATTTATTCATATATTATTATTATAATATATTATTATTATATTTATAATTTATTTGTTTTTTATTTATGTATATTTATATTATATTTATATTTATTTATTTATTTATGTGCACGTATATATGTTCACGCGCGCGCGCGTGTGATTTATATGGATATACACTAACCTAGAGTCCCTATAAGGACTCTTATAGGGACTCTACACTAACCATTTGTCTTTTTCTTATCGCTTTCTTTTTCTCTGATTCTGATTCTGCTATTTCTATTTCTGCATTGTCAGCTACAAAATTTTCTGAATCCTCTGCTTCTTCCACAGACAATTCTATAAAGTATTGATACATTGTATTAATAAAGAATCAAATAACTCTATAATAATCAAAATAATAATCGAAGTTAATGAAAATAAATTCTTCGTATATTACGTCGAATATTATCTTGGGCACTAGACGAATCAATGCCGCGATTATTAATCGCATCAGCGGATGGTCTCCCACCAAAAAGTTCTTCCATCGCATCATAAAATGGAAAACTCATACGATTGGCACCGCTAACGCTGTTGTTGCGTTTAAATTTAAAATATATCCCTTTTAAATGTTTTAACTTGATTTTCATTTGTGCCAGTTTTAATAAAACCCATTTCCTTCATTTTAGGTTCTAGCGATTTGTATATATCAATATGTTTATGGCGCTTTCCATCCATTAATTGGATTATTCGTTTTTCAATACATAATTCAATCAAAATTGTTGTTTCTGTATCCGTCCAGTTTGATCCTTTTCTCGGATGTGTACTATTCGTAGACTCATACGAGCACTCTTCGGTTTGCTCATCTAGTGATGAAAAAGTTTTTAAAATATCTCAAAATATTTTTTTTTAATGTAGTATTTTACAGGGCTCGGTCTTATTTCAAATAAATTTATTTAAAATACATATTTTAAAAATAAAAAAAAATTAAAAAGAGTAATTTGGTATTTATTATCTCATATAACTTCTTCTGATTTATTTCTTATTTAATATTTTAAATAAGTTTTTAGAATTTATTTTATATTTTTTATTTCAAATAAGTTGTATCAGTTGTTTTACCGACTCCAATGATTTTATATTTTAAATAAGTTTTTGGAACCTATTTTATACTTTATTTTAAATAAGTCGTATCAGTTATTTTACCGAGCCCTAGTATTTTAAATGTATGATGATTTTAGAAAAACAACTTGAACTTTTTTTTAGATTTTTAATTTTTTTTCAGAAATATACATAATACGGAAATATATAGTAATATAGAAATTCTGTATAATTGTGAAATTTATTAAGGTATTCCCAAATTATATGAAAAATTCCCAAATTATATGTTTATAAAAATATTCTAAGAAAAATGTTTACCATTAGGTGAAACTCTAATTGCGGTTATCTGATTATTATCATGAGATTCAACAGCAGCAGCAGGAACAGGAACAGTTGTTGAACACGAACTTTTTGAATTTTTTGAACACGACGTTTTATACATTTTTTCAACAAGTTACTCTTTACGAGAAATGTATATTTATATTTTAAATAAGTTTTTGGAACCTATTTTATACTTTATTTTAAATAAGTCGTATCAGTTATTTTACCGAGCCCTAGTATTTTAAATGTATGATGATTTTAGAAAAACAACTTGAACTTTTTTTTAGATTTTTAATTTTTTTTCAGAAATATACATAATACGGAAATATATAGTAATATAGAAATTCTGTATAATTGTGAAATTTATTAAGGTATTCCCAAATTATATGAAAAATTCCCAAATTATATGTTTATAAAAATATTCTAAGAAAAATGTTTACCATTAGGTGAAACTCTAATTGCGGTTATCTGATTATTATCATGAGATTCAACAGCAGCAGCAGGAACAGGAACAGTTGTTGAATACGAACTTTTTGAATTTTTTAAACACGACGTTTTATACATTTTTTCAACAAGTTACTCTTTACGAGAAATGTATGTCAACCATATACAACCAACGGCATGACCTACGTCAAATTTGAGATTAACAAATGATAGTTGTAGGTCGGGTAGCGCGCATTTACATCGAAGTTACAGGCGGCCTATTTCAGGTCAGGTCACCAAAAACCGAAGCCTGACCTACAGCCAGGCCAGGTCATTTTTCAAATGTTTACATCGAGGGACCTAAATAATTTAGGTCAAATTTGGGGTATAGGCTGCAGCCTAAATTCACGGTGTAAACGTAGCCACTGGATATATAAAGGAAATATATACAAAAAAGAAATGAGCGCGTCTGAGAGAATTTTTACTCAATTTGGGATGATTTTGACCAAACTGCGATTAATTTAACCGATAATTAAAGTAATTTATCAAAAAGAGTCGGCAACATTTATAAATATAATATAAAATTGTTAATATGAAATTATATTAATATAAAATTAATTATTACGCTGATAGCAAAATGTTAGCAATTTGGAGCCAAATTGGTAGCAAAGTCCATCAGATTTTGACTACAAAACCATAGTCATCTGTGTCCGTATTTGGCTATGGATTTGTCGACAAAGCCTGTTAACAGGCTATGTCAGCAGATTGGTGGCAGAAACTGAGCAGAGTCTGCTCGAATCAGATTGTGCTCTCAATCTGTCGTCAGGTTTTGTTCGGATTCTGCTACCAATCTGCTGGCATAGCATGTCTAGCAGGCTTTGTTATATTTCTGGCAGTAATTTGCTGACAATGTCAGATAATACAAATTCTGTATACAATTTGGTGCCTTTCTGCAATCAAAAATTGGTAACAGGCTCTGTTCAAAATCTGTCTCCGCAGGCTTTGCTATCAGAGATAGTTGTTGAATGCGTTGAGAAAAAGAAGATCGACAATGAATGATGTGCGCGAAGTTAGCACCGCCATTTCGTAAAAAAATAAAAATAATATTTGTGCTGAATTGTGCTCCATTGTGCTACATTGTGCCGCAACAATTAATAACATAACTCGAACAACAAAGCGATAAATTGAAAAAACCTTTTTTTTCGCCAGCACTGCCATTTTGTTTAATCGGCAAAATAAACACTGTGCTGAGTTGTGCTACATTTGTGCTACATTGTGCCGCAAAGATTTCAACCGTTCCTTCATAACGACAAAAGTTAGGACTAAAAATAATTTTGCCTTTCGTACTTGGTTTCTTGTCCATAAATCGGGTTATAGTGCTTCGATGCGAACGATACTTTATATCTGAGTTGTGCTAGTGTAGCACAAGTCAGCACAACCGTTATATTCGTCGGCACAACGACATTAAGGGCACTTTACTCTTGAGCGCGATCCTTCGCGCAAGGCTTTCTTGTTCAAAATTCGGATTTATAATGCTTCCATGTGAACGGTACTTTATATCTGAGTTGTGCTAGCGTAGCACAAGTCAGCACAACCGTTATATTCACCGACACAACGACATTAAGGGCACTTTACTCTTGAGGGCGACCCTTCGCGCAAGGCTTTCTTGTTCAAAATTCGGGTTTATAATGCTTCCATGCGAACGGTACTTTATATCTGAGTTGTGCTAGCGTAGCACAAGTCAGCACAACCGTTATATTCGCCGGCACAACGACATTAAGGGCACTTTACTCTTGAGGGCGACCCTTCGCGCAAGGCTTTCTTTTTCAAAATTTGGGTTTATAATGCTTCCTTGCGAACGATACTGTGTGTCTAACAGAGCACCAGTTTTTTTATATATTCTATTATTTATTTCGGACAAATTTAAGTACCTATTCTGTTAGTAATTT